TATTTATATTGAAACAAGCTGTATCGTTTTGTATAATATTATGGATATTTTTCATAAAAATATGTCTACATTTTCGTTTATTTCATGATTTGATGAAAAATGAAATAGGCTTGCACAGAACATCTCAAAACTGTCAAAAGTCAATGTCAAATCAATGTAAAATTTCGCGCATGCTCTGTTACGACAGATTTCACTTTAAGATTTAGCCGCACCTGTTTCTTCCAGTTGTTAATCTTCTTAAATTTGATATGTTCCTCCATGCAATTTGTTGAATTTCCACTATAAACTTTTTCAGTTCTTCGTCTTATTTTTAGTTTTTAGTGGTATGGTCAGTTGAATAGTATTTTTAGATAGTATTTGTTCTCTTGAAAACCTTTCCAATTTCTTTTCCGATTTGCTAGGGTCGGTTTTACTTTTTTTGTATTATTATCACTTTTAAAGTCAGGTTTACTACAGAATAGTCTGAATACATATATAATAAAAATACTCTTCCCAATTCACCTTCTTACGAGTGAATTTTAACCCTAAAAGCTAAGCTTGTCCGAGGAAAGGTGCATGGGCGAAGTTATGTCATCAGATCTGGGGGGGCTAAAGCCCTAGCCCTAGTCATGTAATATATAATAGTTCTAGAGGTATACTGAAGTTAAATAAAAAAATTCTGGCGAATCTATGAAAATGGATAAAATATCATATATAACATATATTTATGTCAAGTAAAAAACCTGAAAAATTTTCATCACAATAATTCATTAAAAAAATTTCCTCATTTTCGCAGTCATGAAATAGTAGTTTGTGCAACAAGAGTAGATATGGACAATTCACTCGAGTTGTACAGTATATTTTTTCTATGAACCACTAAGGAAAATATAAAAATTTAAAAAATTATTTTAGTTTTAGACAAAATAACTAATTTTAAAATAATTTATGAATTTTATTAATTTATAAAATATAATAAACATAAAATAAGCCCCTTGTCCAGATTCAAACCCAGGCTATTTGCGTGGAATCTAGATGCTCTGTCCTCTGCTCCACTCCACTCCAGGTTTTTAGTTTTAATACTCGTAACTAAATCAGTTTCATACAATTTGATTAAAATTCATTTTTTTTTAAATGTGGCCCAAATAAAAATAAAAATGCCATTTTTTATCGATTCTAAACAAAAATAACTAATTTTAACGTATGTACTCTTAATGACTAAAAAATATACTGATATAAAATTTTAAAAATAATAGTAGTTGGGTGTCCAAAATATGAACTGATTGGTGGATTTCATTTTTTTGCAGTTTTCTCACTATGTTATGTTGGGAATGGGGTGTTAATACACTGCGACCTAAAATATCTATTGTGCCCCCTTCTGTCGCTTATGCAGCACGGAAATGTCTCAATGCCTATAACGATCCTTCCAATTATATTTTCTCAAGGAAGTGTAGGATTTGGAGTGGCTTCAAGTTAGGTAAATTTCCCTATTCTATTTTATATGCTCATAGGTATAGTGCCCTTTGATTCTGGAGTGCTACACATTCAGTTAGAATGTGAACGAAGGTTTCGTCCTCCTCACAGAATCTGCAGTCACTATCTTCTACTAATCTCAGTTTACTAAGGTGTCCTTTTAGTTGGCATTGTCCAGTAAGGATCCCTATTACAAGTGTTCTCACTACTAGAAAAATGTATAATATGAAAACAGCTTCAAATACAATTTGGCTAATGTGGAACACCCCGAAAGCCTTGCCAGACTCATCTAATGATCGCCAGGCGCGCTAAATTCGGCACGTTAGATTGCTATTCCTCTCCTCGTTTAACTACCTGGCTTGTCAGGTCCGACCGAAATATGGTTTTATAACCGAAACAGAAACTAAATTTCGGCTCCTTTCTTAGTTTCGGGCGAAACCGAAACAGAAACAAGAACTTTGTTTTAAGGCAATCTCTTATTGAAATTTGCAGTATCTTATTGTAATCCTTGTTTTAGACTAATTAACTCGTATTATAAATTTAAGCTACATTTACTTATTACCTATTTATTTTTGGTGATGAAAAGTAGCCATTAATAAATTTATGGACATTGTTTTTTTTATTACTTTTAAAATAAAAAAAAAAGTAAGTGAATTACAAAGTATCAATCATTTCTGCATCTGTAGTAGATATTTTGTAACAAAAAATAGTATTATGAAGGGAATTATATATAATGTATAATTTTTATTAAAAAAAAAAATAAACAAATTCAGCGGATTAAATATGTTTGTTACTTATAATTAAATTAATATTCATAAGTAAACAGTCTAACGTTGTAGGGTAAAAAAAATATTTTTCCACGTTTTCACCTAAAAAATTGCTCCTTTGATCCGAATAAATTAGGACAGGAGCACTGAAGACTGTTCACTTGAAACAAAGCAGAGATGTTTGTGTGTGCGTGCACTGTGTAAGAATGGCACCCGGCACAGTCGCCATTGTGCAGGACACAACCAAGTGTAATACGAAAACTTTCGAAAGTAGTTTTGCTGTCGGCTGCAGTTTCGGCCAGTTTTCCGTCGAAACCGAAACTGTAGTCGAAACTCTTATTTTAAGCCGAAGTTGGCCGAAACCGTAACCGAACCTTCGGTCGGACACTACTTGTGAGTCTGGCATGCCTTCGTGATTGTAATTGTCAGCCAAACGTGTATTTTCACTTAGAATATCACTAGTGACTAAATTATTTCCGGAAATTTTTTCGAACTTAAGAATATTTTGAAATTTAGTCGAAGACGATGGATAAGTTTCTTAAAATATGCGTGAGCGAGCAAAAATTTACTGATAATAATTTAAGCACATGTGGTATTGGGTAAGAAAATTTTACACCAAAATATCCAAATTTCAAAACTTGACAGACATACATTAAAATGACTAAAATTAAATTTTCAAAGCTGGCCATACCACAGCATATAAAACATATATTTTTAAATGCTCTGGCCATACCATGACCATTTGTCATATTTGAAGTCGTTTAGTTGACGCGAAAAACCTCATTATTATTTTACTTAAAATAAATGTAGTGTATTTCTACCTAGTTATAATTGGTATTAAATAAAATATTAACCACTAAAACGGCAAATTTTTAATCACACTATCGCGTTGCGTCGTAATATTTTATGCATGGAAGGGCTTCTCAACTTTCAAAAAAATTTTCAGTATAATTTCGTTTAGGGTACCCACTAATAGAAAAAATTACCGGAAATTTTTCTGGTTGTCATGGAAACGTTTTAAAATAACAGCATTTGATCGGCTATAAAATAGAGGTGTAAAATTACAATATAATCTATTACGTGACAAATTTTCAAACCCGGGAAAATAAAAGCAAAAATATTATATTTTTTCGATTTTGAAGATGTTACCAGACTCATTTGTCAATTTCGTAAATCAGCCAGACATTATTATTAACATTTCATGATTGTATCAATTTATATGCTAAATTTTCTGCCACACTCACTTTCCACTATCTGAGATAATCCAAACTGCTATTTTTATAAACTTTTTGTTCTAGTTTGGTAAATGTAAAATATTTATAACTGGGAAAATAAGAGTCAGACTCAAAAATTTTGTTTTTTGGTACTCATATATACCTACTGGAAAAATGAGTAGGTACGAAAAAAATTCACTGCCTCCTGAGCTAAATGTAAAATTGCAGAATCAATCAAATGGCACGATTCTTTTTATTTTTTAATTTCTGTTCTAAAATCTGAAATGTATGGGTCGATGTGCGATAAATGTTCGAATTATTTTGGGGAGGCTAATTTGGTTTTTGGGGGGCTTAGCCCCCCCAAGCCCTCCCCTAACTTCGCCCATGGGAAAGGGATGGCTATTATTATTATTATTTGCCGTGGCGCTCGGGGGTGACATAAAGATGTTGACATTTGACTTACAGGTGAAGAAAACTAGGAAAACCCCACCCAACATCATATCAAAGTTATTTTTTTGTTGTGTATAGTTGGTGAAATTTTTCTCAGAATAAAGAAATCTAAAATGTCTGGAATTTTATTTGGATCGGTGGGCCAATAGGTGGGGTTTTCAGAAGATTGTTATGTACACCTAAGTTCTGTTGCAGCTCGGTGCAATTCTTTTCTTTGACTGATAATATTTTTGGGGTTGTAATTTCCACCGATATAATTATTTAGATTACTAAGTACCTTACTATACTATTCTTTTTTCTGCTTGTATCTTGGTGGGCAATAGATTGCAGCTATTGTAATTTTGTCTCCCTTAGTGTTAATGGTTACCTGATTTTCTGGTTCTTGGAAGCCTGGTTTCTCATAGTGCGAAATATTATTTTTAATCAAGATACTTCCTCCTGTTGCTGGATTTGATAAGTGGATAGTGTGATAGAATTTATAACCTCTAAATTTAAAGACTCCGTTGTAAGGTGGGTCTCAGAAATTAGACACCTATCTATTTTTTGTACCCCCAAGAGAACTTGATATCAGTTTGTTTTTGGAGAATACCATTGGCAATATAAGTGGATATTCTAGTATCTTTTATCTTCGTTATTTTTAGCTTCTAGTGCCAATCAGAGTGAATCTATTCTAGTTATTAAGGATAATAATAATAATAATAATAATTTATGAGTGGTACTTTCTGCTAGACTAGCTGACTGCGTATGCTACGAAATTTGTGGTGTGGGATTCATAGGTGATTGTGACCTTTTAATTGATTTGTTCTGTTAGTTTTTTACCTGAGAATATGTTATTTTGTTTCTGACAGTGAGAAAAGCATTAAGCCAAGTCTCTGTCTCCTCTGTCTTCTCTGCCTCCTCTGCCTTTTCACTCTTGTCATAATAATAGACACTTACATTTCCTTTTGTTATGTTCAAAACAGAAATAAACTAAACATTTCAAAGATCCGTTGTCTTAAGATGTTTCTTTTTTTTGAACTGAGGTAGCGAAATATCAGTATTTAAACATTTTTTTCTATGATAGTAATAATATTCTAAGACCAAAATATAGAATGAAATTAAATATTTTATTTCTTTTCAGCTTGCCTTCAAATTGCTAGCAAAGATCGTAAGGCATATTCCCCTTTAGACCAGGCGGATGCCCTGTCTTTAGATGAAAGTGATAGTACAAGAACAGAAAACAACAACAGAAGTAATACACATAACAAAAATCATTCTAGGTAAGATTTAAATTATGTACATGCTCAAAATATTCATAATTTATGATTTCTCCTATTAAGACAATAATAATATCACTTTCCACTTTATCATTATCTAGATAAGCTTATACAAAATCCAAGACAAAACCTTTAGATTGGAAACTTTGAATATTTCTGCGATTTTCAGCAATAACGGAAAGTGAGTCGTATTTTTATCAGTTAATTGAAAATTAGATCTTATTCAACAATCCTAAATTTTAAAAGAAATATATCAATCTACCTACTCCAAAATTTTTTATATACTTGTGATTATAGGCCTCAACCAATGAAGCGTAATTAAATGAATTAATTAATGAATTGAAAATATTATCAATAAAATACATAATACTAAATAAGCAAAAAATAAACACAGGTGTTATTGTTAAACATTTTTAAACGTAGTAACCTTGACATTGACTTCTTTGTACAACTTTACTACTTAATGTGCAGCGAAGTAGGTAATTCTTTCAAGCATCAAAACACAATTTAGATTAGGTAAATGAATGTGCTGAAGGAAAAATAATACCGCTTCAAACGTTTGACAGACTAATGGTGTTTAAGCGCTGGAATATAATCGGATTTTGTTCAAGAATTTATAAAAAGATTACATTTATAAACTTAGAGTAGCATTTTTTTGTGCTCGATTTTGTTTAAAATTATACAGAATGTTTTTTTTTTATTAAAAAAAGGTTATCTATTAATATACACTATGTCCGAAATTATTTTCTTTATTATATTGATATAGCATTTCTTATCAATAAAATTTCACGAAAAGAAAATTATACAAAAAAATATCTCTGGCTCATATATATTGTGATGATTTCGCCTAGACCGATCTGGAGTAAAAAAATTTCAGATGATTTTTTGTGACCATAATGTGTATCAATATTTTTTATAACTATTTTATGTTCTAATAAAAACGATTTCACAAATTAAAAAATGTCTTGCCTTGTAGTAATATAGAAAAGTAAATGCACCTCAAAAAACAAAACAATTTAAATGTTAATATTTTTATTTGATTCATTTCCAATATTAACTTATCTCTTGCTATTCTTCACTTTCCTCTTCGTGTAAAACGTTTTTTTTGATGGGCATATCGTAAATAAATGTACCAACCATTTTCGCCACAGATAAAAACACTATACAACTACAATAGTTGCAACGAGAAAAATTCATTAAACTGATAATAACTGGTATTAAGAATACAAATATACTTCCCTACTGTAATTTTGAAACCAGTTTGCAGTTAAATAACACCTCAGCTAAAGTTCTATAGTTTCAAAGAAACTAAATCTGTTTGCTCTACAAAATTCTTACATTTTTCATTTTTAATGGAAAAATTGAAAAGAAAGAGTTTGAAGATGGTTTGCAAACTAGGTGGTACAGTTCCAAAAATGGCTTAAAGAAATATTTGATATTGATGGACATGCTTCTTACATTTTGGATCCAAAAATTCTAGATTACGCAACCAGTAATAAGATAATCTTTTTGCGTCTTCCTAGTTACACAACACATTTTTTACAGCCCCTGAATAGATGATTTTTCAAGAAACTAAAAACATTTTGTTAGGATACATGTGCGACTTGGATACGAAATCATGAAGGAAGAAAAATTACCAGATACTAGTTCCCTTCTTTGTTGAATATAGCTTGATCTAAAGCTGCCACTGTCCAAAATGGCATTTCAGATTTTAAGGCTTGTGGACTTTATGCATCAGATTCATCTGTTATTGCAGCTTATGCTTTTCGTTCTGATGGAATCCCAAACAACTCCAATAGAAGCAGATTTATCGGTTGCTAATTCAAATATCCAAATAACTTAAAATTAAATACCAAACGATGGACATTTCACCATAAACGTCTGATGCTGAGACAGAAATGCCAAGGATAATCATTACTACTGCTAAAATTCATAACGGAAAAATAGCTGGACCATATACTGCTAGATCAACAGATACCGCTGCTATTCCAGATTCTTCTAAGAAAGAAAGAAAGAAAGAAAGAAAGAAAGAAAAGAAAGAAAGAAAGAAAGAAAGAAAGAAAGAAAGAAAGAAAGAAAGAAAGAAAGAAAGAAAGAAAGAAAGAAAGAAAGAAAGAAAGAAAGAAGAAGAAAGAAAGAAGAAAGAAAGAAAGAAAGAAAGAAAGAAAGAAAGAAAGAAAGAAAGAAGAGAAAGAAAGAAAGAAAGAAAGAAAGAAAGAAAGAAAGAAAGAAAGGAAAGAAAGAAAGAAAGAAAAGAAAGAAAGAAAGAAAGAAAGAAAGAAAGAAAGAAAGAAAGAAAGAAAGAAAGAAAAGAAAGAAAGAAAGAAAGAAAGAAAGAAAGAAAGAAAGAAAGAAAGAAAGAAAGAAAGAAAGAAAGAAAGAAAGAAAGAAAGAAAGAAAGAAAGAAAGAAAGAAAGAAAGAAAGAAAGAAAGAAAAGAAAGAAAGAAAGAAAGAAAGAAAGAAAGAAGAAAGAAAGAAAAGAAAGAAAGAAAGAAAGAAAGAAAGAAAGAAAGAAAGAAAGAAAGAAAGAAAGAAAGAAAGAAAGAAAGAAAGAAAGAAAGAAAAGAAAGAAAGAAAGAAAGAAAGAAAGAAAGAAAGAAAGAAGAAGAAAGAAAGAAAGGAAAAAAGAAAGAAAGAAAGAAAGAAAGAAAGAAAAGAAAGAAAGAAAGAAAGAAAGAAAGAAAGAAAGAAAGAGAAAGAAAGAAAGAAAGAAGAAAGAAAGAAAGAAAGAAAATTAACGTGTGGTTTTAACGAAATTAAAAAATACCAACGAAAGAAATAAAAAAAAAAAATTCTCGCAAACAGAATGCCAAAATTGTTACTACAAAGAATATATGGCTAAAAAACGCCGAAAGAATTAAAAGAAGCTAATGCTCAAAGAAAACTAAGGAAAAATGAAATGCTAAGGAAAATAAAAATAAGACAATCAAGGTAAAACAAAATAGAAGAAACCTAAGAAATCGTCAAGTTCTTCTGCTTCATCCATTAATATGAGTGAAAGTTCAAGTGATGAAGATCTTCAGGTAGTAGACAGAGATGAATTTTGTAAAAAATGTAATGGGCACTATTTGGACAAAAAGGTCTCAAGTGCGATCGGATATAATGCGTAAAATGTTTCTCTTGGTTTCATAAAATATGAACACTTTCTGAAAAATACTGTTCAAATTGCGCTGAGTAAATATTTTTTTAATTTGTTTCTTTTGTTAACATAATACTGTTTATTCTCTGCTATTTTTTTAATTTTTTTGTGATTTGTATTATTAATTACGAAGTATTAGAATACATTTTTTTCAAGTATGCGAAAGCGCTTATTATGGTTAAGTACTGAACTATTTATCGATACATATAAGTTAAAACCGAACACGGATGGTACTTATAATTATTAATTTCTGAACGCAGTGTTACATATGTCAGGTGACAAATCTCACATGTCACTATCGAACGTGCTGAAAATAGTCCGTTGTTTTGGTTTGCAAATTCCGAGAAAAATACTTAAAAAAATACTTAAAAAATACTTTAAAAAATACTTTACTTTAAAAATACTTAAAAAAATACTTAGAAAAATACTTAAAAATGCTTCTAATAGCCTACTAAATGTAAAACAAAATATTTCTTAATTACTCTCTGTTCCCGCCACTTCAGCTTTCACCAAGAGAGTTTTTTCGGTAATGAATCTAAAGTGGCGAGAAACAGAGCGTCGATAAATTTAATAAAAAACTAATTGTCTGTACATTAATATTTAAGTTTTAATTGTAAAACAAGCTTTGAGACTTTCAAAGATAGTACAAAATTGTTAGCTCGTGCTAAAAGCACATAAAAATTGTTTTTAAGGAAATAAGAACATAATTTTAAAAATACTTTTTTTTTCTTCCCAATATTTTATTTTTTCTTATTCAAACAAATTTACACTTTTTCTTTGTTAAAAAAAAAAAAAAATTGTCATCCTTAACCTCTTTTTCAAGTACTTCGGTTTGGAAAAACTTCTCTTTCCGGCTACTTCTGGAGTTGGAATTGTCGGCCAAAATTTATGTGCTAATGACAACTTTGGGTAAGCCTATTTTTAGGTATTATATTTACAAATGATGGAATAATAGCAGCACACTGAGCAATTTCTGCAACTCTTGCATTGTATATTGTTTTCTTAACCTCCGTCCTCCTGTTGATTACTGGTTGATTTCTATAAGTGACGTTTTTGTACTCGGAAAATCACGACTCCTGCCGAGCGACAATTCTAGTACATATTTCAAGAAGCACGTTCCAGGATATAATGATAAGGTACCGACTGCGCATCCATGACGAGTGTAGAAATTGTGCAAGATTCAACCTTCCACTTTTACACACGTAAATTACAAAGAAAGGTTGCCCTAAAGCTCAGTAAACAAATTGTAGGCTTGTTAAACCATTGTGTTCATTTCAGCTCTGTTTTTGTTAGTGTTGTGGCTGTTGTAAGCTTTGTTTTAAATATTAAATTAAACCTGTAAATTATTTTCCGACGCACTATTTTATAATTGTTGCACAAAATATTTTTTCCTACGATCACTTAGGAAAGTGACACATATCACACTATATAGTCCTATGGAAAGTGCCCTATATCACACGCGTATGAATAAGAATTTACTTTCCACCCGAGTGAGAATATGTTACTTTCCGCAGCAGCTGTCATAAAATGTCAAACCCATAATTTCTATTTTGATCGATGTAATGTCCATATTAATACTAAAATCGATATGATTGTTAAATTATTGAAATTGTTGTAAATTAGATCCTAGATATTTATCTTTAACAATTATTATTAAAATAATTTTAAAATAACTAAGATTATGTTTGCTTTTTATTCTGGTTAAACATATAACCGATTATATCATTCAATTGACCAGAGGCCTGTTGGTTAGAGCATCAAACTATCAAATTTGCCATTTTAGAGAACTGGCGAACGACCGCGTTCGAATCCTGGCGGGGCCAGAACTTTTTTTTGTTTTTTTTTTATTTTTTTTTGTTTTTT